GTGGAGGAACAAGGGCTGGGCAGAAGGAAAGGAAACTTGCTGGTTCAGTAGGACTTCAGTTGTGACTCTTCACCAAGAGCCAGGCTGTGGCCACATTTAAGTGTCCTGGTACCTCATAATGAGATGAGTAAGTCCTCTCATTTGGAGAAACATGTATATGACATTTGTAGAAAAATAAATGATTTTTAAAAACTGGACTTTATTTTCAGAGCAGTTTTAGATTCTCAGCAAAATTGAGAGGAAGGTACAGACTTTTCCCAAGTACCCCCCACCTCCACCCATGCACAGTGTCCGCTGTTATCAACATCATTCACCAGATGGTACATGGTTACTAAGGCTGAACCTACAAGGACACATCTACTGCTGCTGTTGTGTGCTCAGTCGTGTCTGACTCTTTTTGCAAACCCATGGACTAGCCCACCAGGCTTCTCTGTCCATGGGATTTTCCAAGCAGGAATACTGGAGTGGTTTGCCATTTCCTCCTCCAGGGGATCTTCCCAACCCAGGGATCGAACCCTCATCTCCTGTGTCTCCTGCAGTGGCAGGCGTTATCATCACCCAAAGTCCACCGTTTACTGTGGGTTCACTCTTGGTGTTGTATATTTAATGAGTTTGGACAGATATATAAAGATACGTATCCATCACTGTAATATACAATACAGAGCGGTGTAACTGCCCTAAAAATCCCTTGTACTTTACCTGTTTATCACTCTTTCTTCCCTAACCCCTAGCAACCATTCATCTTTTTACTGTAACTGTACCTTTTCCAGAATTTCATAGAGTTGGAATCATAGTCTGTAGCCTTTTCAGATTGACTTCTTTCACTTAGGAATGTGTACTTACTGTTCCTCCATGTCTTTGTCATGACTTGACAGCTCCTTTCTTTTTAGCACTAAATAATACCCCATTGTCTGGAGACATCACGGTTTATTTATCCTTTCACCTGCTGATGGACATCTTGGCTGCTTCTACCTTTGGGCGATGATGAATGAAGCTGCTGTAAACCCCCATGTGCAGTTTTGAACTGGGTTTTCAACTCGTTGAATTTGCATAGTGTGGATCTCTGTATCTGCATTCCTATTCATGTATGAGTGACATTATATATATATATATGTATATTTTTTAAAAGTCCTCTCCCCTTTCTTTGGATGAGGTAAGGACTGATTTCAGTCTTCTGTTTGGTGTCTCTCTTCACCCTCTCAGACAGTGGATTGTTTGCAGGAGCAAATGACGACACTATGTCTAATTAGCAATATCTGATTGCTCACTACCTGCCAGAGCTTGTTCTGTCTCCTCTTGCTGGGGAGAAGGTGGGTTCTAGCACCATTTTGGTATTTAAATCTGGTTCAGTTGCTCACCATTGTGCAAGTGGCGTTGCTTTTTTGCTGTAGTTACAGGAGTGTCTGGGGTGGGGGTCGAGGGGAGGTAGTTAGATGACCTTGGCTGGCAGAGGGAACTGAGAAGAGAGAGGTCATGGAGAAAACCCAGCTCTACCACTCTTTCTGAGTCTGGACCCAGCTAAGGAGTTCTCCTCTATAAATAAGCACCTCAGCAGGCCATCAGAGAAGGCAATGACAACCCACTCCAGTACTCTTGCCTGGAAAACCCCATGGACAGAGGAACCTGGTAGGCTGCAGTCCATGCAGTCGCCAAGAGTTGGACATGACTGAGCGACCACTTTCACTTTTCACTTTCATGCACTGGAGAAGGAAATGGCAACCCACTCCAGTGTTCTTGCCTGGAGAATCCCAGGGACGGCGGAGCCTGGTGGACTGCCGTCTATGGGGTTGCACAGAGTCGGACACGACTGAAGCGACTTAGCAGCAGGCCATACCGCACATGAAGGGCTTTCTCTGCTGTGTTCTGGGTGAGACGATCTGAGTCACAGTGCACTCTACTCCCCTCATCATAACTCCGCTCAGCACCCCAGAGTCAGGCTGTGGCCATCACAAGTCCCTTGGGAGATGTCTGTTGTCAAGTAAGGGAAAAAAGTTCCTAACTGGCTGTGGTCCTTGACCTTTGGCCCGGTTCTGACGCCTCTAATCTTTAAACTTCCCTTTAGTCATTTAAAAGGATGATTGAATAATCTGGATGATTCCTTGTAGACCATATCATCAAATTCTATACCCCCCAATCCTTGAAGCTGTCCTGTTTGTAAAAATATCATTGGATTAGAGGGATTTTTGCATTCTCTGCTGCCTTTTCTGAAGGACCGCATCCCTGATCACCAGATTGGGTCAAAGCCGTAGATGGCTGGATATAGATGAGTTTGTTAGCAGAACTAGGGAAAGAGGTGGATGACTAAACCAGTTGCCTCTGGACCAGTCCATTCTCTAGATGCGCTTTGTAAATGGACTTGCAGAGAAGCAATATTATCTTCCAGAAGAACGCTGTAAGTGTGAATTCTACCTAGTCCCCCACTCTCTCCCAGTTTCTTGGCACTTTTATTTAAGAAGTGGGAGAAGGATTATGCGAAACTTCCGTGTGCCGGCCTCCATCAGGTGAGGGAGGTGATGATGAGCTAGAACTGGGTCTCTGCTCTAAGGCATTATGGACACCCAGGCAGCGAAGGTGCCAGGTCTGGGTGTGGGGTGTGAATGCTTAGCTAGAAGCTCGGAGGAATGTCACTGCCTTGTGCCCTGGGAGCTGGGCCCTGGTCAGGCACATGATCCAGACAGGGAAATTAAAGACACACTGTCAGTGCACTTCTGTGGCCTGCTCCCCCTCTGCTCGGAAACACACAGTCGCCTGCAAGCTTGGAGGGTGGAAGAATGCCACCCCAGCCTTCTCTGTCCTTCAGCCTGTGCAAAAAAGAAATCGGTGGGCAATAGCAGGCACACAGGTACCCTGGGTCCTCAGGGAGAGACGAGTGTGCAAACATGTAGAGGTGCAGCCGGGGCGCCCCGGACCCAAGCAGCTGGGGGCAGGGTGCTGGTGCGCCCTCCCTGCTGTTTTCCTCTTTGGATCAGCCCGCTCTTATTTCTGGAGTGGAGTGGGACTCTCCCTGGGGCGATCTAGGGTGTCATCTCTGGCATTTGCTCCCAGTGCAGAAAAACAAGTCCGAATGCAGCGCACTCGGGTTTCTGAACAGCTGCCCAAGCGCCGAAACCAGGCAGTCAGCAAAGCGGAGGAAGGGAGGAGGGCAGGGGCTCGGGAGAGGGAGGAGGGGGCGGGGAGGGGGGAGGCGGTCAAGGGCGCTGTTTCGGCGGGCGACGCTCCTCCCCGGGCTGGGGAGCGGGGAGAGTGGGGGCCGCTCAGGCGAGTGGGGTGCCCCGAGTGGGAATCGGGGTGCGGGGGCGAAGGGGTCGAGGGTACCCCCCGGTGGACGACAATGGGAGATCCGGACCCCTGGGCGCGCTAGGGTGGGGGAAAGTGAGGATGCTCGGGCTCGTGCTAGTGAGGAGCCTGGAGTGGGGGGTCGGTGTGCGAAGAGAGGGGGGTTGAGGGTACGTCCCCGCCCGGTGGGTAGCGCTGGACGCTCTGCGCTGGGGGAGGGGGCTGCCTGGACTGGGGGAGTGCCCGGGGTGGGGGTGGGCGTCGGGCTGGGGGATGGTTCGGAGCTCCTGCCTCTGGGCGAGCTGGGGTGCGAGGAAGGGGGAGGCGCGGCGGGGCGGGGCGGGCAGGCAGGAGCGGCTTGCCCGCCGCCTGGGAGCGGGCGCCTTCCCAGCCGAGCCATGCGGTACGTGAGCGACGTGTGGCAGCCTCTGCGCAGACTGTTCCGCGGCGGTGTGGGTTTCGGCGAGCGCCGCCTCCTTCCAATCACCGCGCAGCCCCAGCGGAGGGATGCGCCTGTGCAGCGCAGCGCTGCGCACCGAGGCGTCGCGTGCCAAAGTCACATCCAAGTGAATTCCCTGCGAGGGAGGCATCCCCCCGCTCCCCGCACCCCAGATCTTCACAGGGAGGCAACGGACCTGACCTTACGACTGCCATATGTCCCCAGCTGATGCAAAGCCTCGAGAACCAGGGATACGGAGGGACACACAGAGCAAAAACTGGCGAGGAAGACGTGCAGTGGGGCTGTGCGGGTTACATGGCACGAATTTTAGGGGTTTGCACAATCAAGGTGCCGCCTCCCAATAGTTATTCCGGACTTTTGTCAGGTAATCAATTTCAGATCAGAATAGGATCCAGTTTTATTTACTCTTCTACTAGGAGAGATAAAAGTATATCGAAAATATTGTAAACTGTGACCGTGAAAACCAAGATGCCACGTTCCATTTTGGTCCAGCCTCCGGGTCTTTCCCGCCCGCTCCTTGTGCCCAGCATTCCGGGGACCCCGGGTTCCAGGTCTTAGGCGCTGGCTTTTGGGGAGCAGTGTTCAGCACAGGTCAGGGTTTCTAAGGAATTTAGGAAATTGAGCAGAGTGAGGACCAAGGGCCAAGGAAGTCCCCTCTCCTGGGGTGGCGCCAGGGCCGTGGCGGCTGAGACTCACGGATATTATTAGGGAGCAGTTCCGGCAAGGAGTGACCCCATGGGTGCTCTCAGCGACCTCCCTTTGGCCTCCGTCTAGGGTAGCAGAGACACACACCCCGTCCCCTCTTAACTTTATTCCAACCTTTAACCCTAAACCCCTGTCTTCACTGTGACCGTGCCTGGCCCGGAATACATGTTAAAAATGCACAGTATGTGGGTCCCATTCCCAAAGAGGCCGAGTCTTTAGGGTGCAATAAGCATTCCAGGTGATTCGCTTGCACGGCTCCACCGACCACACCGGACGGTGCCGTTTCTCTCCTCCCAGCACAGCTGCGGTGGTTATTCTGGGAAGCTGTGCAGGGCGTTTTTAGGGAATGACAGGAGGAGGCTCACCAAGTGGCACCTTCACCCAGGGCTCGTTTAGGGTGTTATCTGAGTCGGCGTCGCCGGTCTGCAGGGGGCGCCAGCAGGCTGAGCCACCCTCCTTCCACGTGAAAGGGGGCTGGAACCCGAGGAATGCGTCCCCGCCCCAGGGTGACGTGTGCGTGGCTGTCTTAAAAGCCAGGGCGGCGCGCTGGGCGTCCAGCAGAGCCGGAGAGGAGGCTAGCGGGCGAGGACCGCACGGGCTCTAGCCGGCGCACGAGGACCGCGGCTGTCACTGCGCTCGGAGCATCCCAGCCCAGCGGGAGCCGTGGGTGCTGCCCCAGCCCCGCGTCCTTCTCGCAGCGCTTGGGGAGCCTCGCGCCCCAGTCGAGCGTCCGTGATTTTAGCACAAAGCACGTTTCCAAAAAGCCGCGCTTTCGCGCACGCACCCTCGCCCCCCTTTGTTTCGGGGGTTGCCAGGCCGCTCTCCTCCCCAAGTCTGAATTCTTCAGAAGGGGCGGAGGGCCGCCGAGCCTCGGCTGGGAAGATGCCCTTGGAACTGACTCAGAGCCGGGTGCAGAAGATCTGGATCCCGGTCGACCACCGCCCCTCGCTGCCCAGAAGTGAGTGCAGACGCGCGCGGGGCCGGGCGGCCGGGGAGGGCGCGCCGTGTGTGGAGAGAGGCCATTGTGTGGAGGGCGCCGCCCCGGCGCTTTTGTGCCGGCTCCCCTCCTCCGGCGCGCTCGGCCGGCCGGGCGCCGCCCTCCGCGCCGTCCCCGCGTCCCGGCCCGGGCGCCCCCCGCTCNACACACACACACACACACACACACACACTCTCTCTCTCTGGACTTGGAGTTTGCTGACAGTTCACGTCCCCACCCTGTCGGGTCTTGGCCGGTAAATACTTTGGGAAGGTTTACCTTGGGCTCTGTCCCCAGCCAAGGAGAGAGCCACCTCTTAAACGGGTGGTTCCAGAGGTTTGAAGGGGACACCAGCTCCTCCAGCAAAACCACCAAGGGGCATGTCAGGTGGACAGGCTGAGACAGTGGTGAGCATTTTGCTCCCGGTCAGGTCAGGTCAGGATGCCTGAGAGGTAAGCACTGGCTCCCAGGTACAAACCCTCCCAAGTGGCTTCAAGGCATCCCCCGAGCGCTAGGTGGCCTGTGGGCCTCCTCTGCCATCGCATTTCTCAGGGGCTGCTCACCAAGGCTGCAGTGACAGCTCCTCTTCCCCGGGTTTGCCCAGGTGTGAGTTACCTCCCTGTCCTCAGACCTGCCCCAGGAGGTGGGGAGAGTTGGCCCTGGGGTGCTCCTAGGACATCCTGGTGATGGGATCCTGGCAAGGTGCTCCCCATGCTGGCAGGGGTGGGGTGGAGTAGAGTGCTCCTCCACCTGCTTGATCCCTCAGGTCCAGCCGGCCACAGAAGCCTCAAGGACAACTAGGCTTCTTTGCAAGGTAGCTGGGCGCTGGGGAACCTTGCAGGTGTCTTGCTCCCCAGCCCTTTCAGGTATGCTCTTAAATAGCCCACTGAACAGGCTGACCACGGTCTGGTTATATTTCTGTAAAACCTGTTCGTTGTGAGAAATGCCCCACCTGAAATCAGAAGGGAGATACAGTAGGAGCCCCACCCCTTTTTGACTTTTGAATAAAAGATATTGATACAAGAACACTTGATACACTGGGGCACACAAATATAGATTGGTTCTCTAAACACCTGTAGGTGTATGGGTGCACATTGAAACGCACACTCATATTTAGTTGTCCTCTGGGGTTCACGGCGGGGTGAGGACTGGGAGGTCTGGCCACAGCGGGGTGGAGTGGGAGGGGGTACGCTGAGCTTGGCTGGCATCCGCTCGTTGAGTGTTTCTGACAGACACAAGTGTGCGGCCACGCTTTTCCTGGGGCTTCAGAAATCCATCCATTAGTTCCTATCAGCCTGCACGTCTCGCACGCAGATGAGAGATTTGCCTGAAAATCCCTGTCGGAACAATTCGCAGCTTGATGGGTGGGGGGCTGGGGGGGGGTGTTGCTAAAGCTGATGGATTAAGTCCCTTGTCCCCGCCCACCCCTGCAATCCCCGTGTGTGGCTGTGGGGTTACATTTTTTTCTTAGAAGATTATCTGCACCCTGGTATTTATTGCTTGCATGCCGTTATTTTAAGTAGCTGTGTCTTTCTGGGTTTATATGGTCACATTTGTCTCCTCCCATAGTGGAGAGAGGGTATCTCTTCCTGGCATCTTTCCCATTCCCTGGCCCTCCCCCCTTCTTTAATGGCATTGGGAACTGAGTGGATTTTTCTCCCTCCTGAACCTGTTCCCGTCTTTCTAAGTGCTGTCCTAGTTGGGGGTCACAGCAGACCTGTCTGAGATGTGTTAACTAACAGAGGACACCGAAAACACGACCGTGGATGTATAAAGAACGGTAAAACAGCCACAGGAAGCCCCAGATTGATTCATTTGGTGGCACTTCCACCTCTGAAGCCCATCATTTCAGGGTCCGGTTGCTACACCTTCTTGGTGGTAAATGCTTCTTACAAATCCTGCAGCTTCCTTCAAGTGCAGACTGTAATTCAGGGAGACTTACTGACTTGGTGAATCAGCTGAATGGACAAGGAAGTAGACTCTTGACTGGCAAGAACTAGCGATCCTTTGTTTCTCATCACGGAGAGTTATCTGTGCAGGTCCCAACTCATGTATCACTTCTCCGCTCAGAACCCGGTTTCCTCATCTGTAAAGCAGGTTATGTACTGTCTGCTGAGAGAAGGTTTCATCTCACAGGGGCTTTAGCCCCACTGATGGTTTTCCGGCTCAAAGAGGGAAGATAGGGGAAACATTACAGACCTTATCACGTGGGCAGCCACTGTAATCTGCAGTTGTGATTCTCAGCCCTGGCTTCACATTTAAATCGTGTGGGGGAGACTTTGGAAAAAATGCGTGCTGGTACCCTTTTTCTGAGTTAGAATTGCCATAGGTGCAGCCTGTGCATCCTGGTTTTAAAAGCTTCTTAGGTTCAGCCGCTGGTTGAGAACCACTTTTTGAGGAAGGAGCACTTGAGGGGTTTCAGATGAGAAGGACCAAAGTGAACCCCAGGTCTGTCCCTTACCGCTTATGCAGGGGACCTCCTTCACTTGTGGGTCCTGGTTCCCTCGTGTCTGGCTTTAATGGAAGAAAGCCCTAATGGCTGATGGAGGCCACTGTAGCAAGTATCCTACACATTACCTTCTGCTTCACCCTCCGGGAACCTTTGTGAAACATCCGTGCATTTCACAGACAGGGAAAACCGAGACGCCAAGAGGTCAAGTGACTTGTCTGGGACCCGAAGCAGTGCAGGCTTTGAACTCTCCTGTCTCCAGGCCCTCTCAGTCACCGTGTTCCTATGTTGTCAACTGATTCCCTGAAACGCCCCTCCCTCCCTTGCTGGCAGAGAGCCTGTCGGGTTGGGAGGGCCATTCTCTGGCCGAGATTCGGGCATTGAGTTAAAATGTGCGTGCAAAGCAATGAATGAGTGCAACATCCACTGCACAGTCCAGAAGAGTTTAGGAAAGAGGTTTTGCTGAGCTGGGGTCTCCTGCCCTGCAGAGCCTCAGCCCATCTCACCACCACCCCTACCCCTCGGGGGCAAGCTCACTTCCATGTCGATTCCTAACACGGGACCAGGCAGACTCTCTGGACTGAAATGATCCCAGGAGAAGGTTTGTGTCCAGTGGACCACAGTCAGGTGTCTGCTGTGGCTTTCTGGCCCTGCCTTCCATTCTCCCAGGGTCGAGTGTGTGGACCTGTTCCGAGAGAGCCCTTTTCAGGTGGTGACGTCACAGCAGGGCTTACTGTGCAGCGTGTCCTTTGCCCTAGCCTGGCAGCGATGGGGGAGCAGGTTCCCATGGTTACCGTAGACACTCTGCCGTGGAACTTGCATGAGGCCCGTTGGGCACTGGCCTGGTCTACGTCTGCAGCTCAGCTGTCTATGTCTTCCATGAGTTCCCCTGAAACTTGGTGTTGAAAGCCTGACTACCTACTTAGAGGAGAAGAGCATGAGTGACGTGGCATCTTTTGAGGTTAACATTTTGGAGTGCCTCTGGGTGGTAGGAAGTTTACAGGAGGTGCAGTACGTGCGTGCTGAGTCGCTTCAGTCATGTCCGACTCTTTGCGACCCCAGGGACTGTAGCCCACCAGGCTCCTCTGTCCATGGGTTTCTCCAGGCAAGAATACTGGAGTGGGTTGCCATGCCCTCTTTCAGGGGGTCTTCCTGACCCAGGGATCGAACCTGTGTCTCCTGTTGCCCCTGCATTGCGGGCAGATTTTTTACTGCTGCGCCACCAGGGAAGCCTGCAGGAGCAATGGCAAAGTGTCTTCCATCGGTTTTTTAATTTTCTAAGCCTGCATTACAGCATCAGTATGGTAAGCTCGGACAGTGGTTCTGCCTGCTTGAGGCAGTGGGGAATGTGATCAGAGAGGTTAGCCGCTCAGTCAGGGTGCAGGGACTGGAATTGGAATCTGCCAGTGCAGCCTCTGTCCAGGGACTTTAGACTGTTGCTTCTTACCTCTAACCTCAGTATATCCCCTTACATGCAAGTACTTTGGGAAAAACCTAGTGTTAAGCTGTACACTTACCTTCCGTATTCCTCAGCTGTTGGAGAGGAAGATGAAAAGGCCGGGCTCTAGGGAGGAAGGTATGAGAGGTGGGAGGATTTAAAAGGTCAGCAGAGAAGAAGAGGGTCAGAGTGGAATTGAGACAGAGGCAGGAGATGATGGGACCAGGAAAGCACTTGGGATGTGCTGTGAGTTTGACAAAGAGGAGGGAGGGTAAAGTTTGGTCATTCCGGGGATCTCCGAGCATCTGGGTGGATGGGCAGCAGCAGACACCTTTGGCAGCTCTTTGAATCTCATGCAAGAAGCCAAAGGACTCAAGGAATGACTTCTGCTTCCTCAGACGAGCAAGGGATGGTTTATTTGGTTTTGAGATTCAGCTTGAATTTTGGGCTTGAGGTGCTTATGTTGCCGTGTCTTTATGGGTTTTGCTTTTTCCTTCCAAAGTGTCTACTGCCCGAGGAGATTTGCACATACCGTTAATGGATATAGAAGTAATCCCCTATTTGATAAATCAGTCAGCGTCTGCCTCTGCTTCCTTGGCCTGAGTCCAACAAAAGTATTGCATGCATGTGCACAGCCAAGAGTGTGTGTGTGTGTGTGTGAGCGTGTGTGTGTCTTGATGCTCCTGGGAGCAGTGACATGGTGGGGATATCAGATAAGACCAGGGGAAAACCAGTGGCTTGGGGGAAGGATCAGCAGAGTGGGTGTTTCCCGGCACGAGCGAGGACACTTTCACTTTCTCGTGTGTCACCTGCAGCTGTCACATGCTGACAGGAGGTGTGTCTTCTGTCCCCACTGGTGTCTGAGGAGGCCATCAGCTTTCTTCGCGTGCCCCCCGGGGACTCCAGAAAGCCCCCTGGTGCATCTTTGCCCCGGTCCCGTGCTCACGCAGGACAAGAGGCCTCTGTTTTCTAGGAGCCTGTTTGTTCCCAGCCCCTGGTCGCTGGGGAATCCCAGCCAAGGGTGTCTGTGGCTCCTGTGTCCATGTGGGGCGCTTGCTGCCCCGTGTCCCCAGGCTGGCAGTCCCAGAGGCAGACCCTGGGCATCGCAGCCAATGCTTGGACACGTGACCGAAGTCTGGCCACCAGGCCCAGCATCATGGGGCTGTGTTGGGGCGTCCAACTTGAGAGGAGGGGTCTCCTCAAGCCTGTGCCGTCAGCGGCCTGGTGGCCCCCCTCCCTCCCATCTGACACTCGTCTGTTTAGAGGGAAGGAACCTAGATTCTGTGGTGCAGCCTGAGTTGCTTGGTCTGCACTGTGGCCGGAGCCCGGGGAGTGGGGCTGCGTGGTGGTCAGTGAGCACCTCGCACGCTGCTGGGTTGGGGGTGGGCAGGCGGCCAGTCTCTGGCCCACATGGGTGGTCCTGGGCTCATGAGCACTTGTTTCACCTGATGCCAGAGTCGCCTGAGAATCTCAGGAAACACTGCACCCGAAATGTCCAGAGCAGGGTTCTTTGGGCTGCTTTCTGCAAACCCAGTGAAAACCTCTCTCCCTGGAGTTTTGTTGAGATTCCAAGGAACACGGGTGAGAAGCCAGGAGAGGCTGCACAGGCAAGACCCTCTGGGTTTCCGGGGGGTCCTGCTTGGGGCCCTTGTGACTTGGCGGCAGCCAGAACTTGGACGAGGCCGAGCAGGCAGGGGTGGTGGAATTTGTGGGGTCAGCTTCTTGGTCCCTGACCGACTTCCATTTCATAAACTCTTACTGTGAAAATTGCCTTTTAAAAATAACCTTTTTTAGGAAGGTCATGCAGACCTCGTGCGTGGAGGTGAGGAAAGTTATCTGTAATTTAGCTGCTGGAGCCCCACCCCCCGGGGCTCTTACCTGCCACCTCTATTTACCTGTTGCATTGCATCTGAGACAGCCTCTCCTACTGATGACCTACCTCACCCTTATTGGTGCAGGGGACTCCCTTGCTTACACCCGAGGGCTACTTTCCCCTCTGGGGTGAGTCGTCATTTTCTGGCTGGGTTTGGGGCCCTCAGGTGTCAGGCTGGGAATTCGGGGCCCCTGCCATGAGGACGTCAGAGCAAGAGGGAGCCGTGTGACCAAGGGCTCTGGCTGCGGGGGGCCCACTCCTGCTGGATTGTAAAGAGCAGGGGCTTCGAGGTGGGAATGAAAGCTGCGTTTCTGTGGGATTCTTTAAAACCGCTGTGGGCAGCGCTGGCTGCTTTATTCATGGCCCTTCTGTTGTTTCTCCCCAGCCTGTGGGCCGAAGCTCACCAACTCCCCGACAGTGATTGTCATGGTGGGGCTCCCCGCCCGGGGGAAGACCTACATCTCCAAGAAGCTAACCCGCTACCTCAACTGGATTGGTGTCCCCACAAAAGGTGAGGCTGCATCCCAGGCTGGAGCTGTCACACTGGGGGTACACTCTACTCACCATGACCCCATTCCTCCTGAAAAAGAACAGCCTTTCCCTCTCCAGCTGCTGAAACTCTCTTTGCAGGACCACTCTAGGGGGCTCTCCCGGTAGTGGGGGGGGGTTTCACACCTTCCTTTCCAGTATGTCACCCACCACCCCGTATGTACACCCTGCTGTGTGTATGGGAGTCTCTGCTCACTGGCTGCTCTTTGGTCACCCTGCCCTGCGTCCTCCCCAGTTCAGCCCTCATCTCCTCCAGGAAGCCTTCTCTGACCACCCCAGTCTGTGCGGATCTTTTCCTTCAAACTCCCCCAGCCCTTGTTTGTGACATTCCTCCACTAGCTGTCTTAAAATATTCTTTCTGTGCTATTGATTATATTTTTGCATCTGGTCTTCCCACTGACATGAATGTCTTTAGCACGAGGACTAATTTTTCACATTTGCTGCCCCAACCCTCACCCCCACTCCAAGCCTGTGCCCAGCACAGTGCTTCATACACAAACTGCTCAGTCAGCACCCAGTGCCCATCCTGGGTGTGGGCTGCTGGTATACAAAGTGGCTGCTGTGGATCCGGCCATGTATGTGAGTCTGCACTCCCTCTCAGCCGTGTTGGCGGGAATCATGGCCCCAGTTTTCACTAGACACGTGGCCACCACCTGCTTTCAGGCTCAGCCTCCAGCCCCGGCCCTGAAAGGCTGGCTTCCAGGCTGGACTGTGAGAGGCGACCCCAGAGAAGCAGGGGCACTGTGAGCCGTGCTGGGTCTTAGGGAACCCCAGCTGCCTTCCAGGTCAGGCGACGCCGGCAGTGCAGGATGTACCGCCCACTGCCTGTTTTCTGGTTTTCTTGGGATCTTATTCAAGTCATTCACTGGCTTGGTTTCCTTCTTTGGAAAGAGGGATCGGGCCCTGGGAGGTCCTTTCTGGCGGTCAGCATGGTCAGTGAAGGGGCTGTTCTTTTCCACGCAGTGTTCAACGTGGGTGAGTACCGCCGGGAGGCCGTGAAGCAATACAGCTCCTACAACTTCTTCCGCCCTGACAACGAGGAGGCCATGAAAGTCCGCAAGTGAGGCCCCGGCTGTGGGAGCGGGGTGCTCTGCTCGCTGTGTGATCTCAGACTGGGCGGGAGGGGGGCAGCCAGGCTCGTGTGTGCAGCATGCGAGTCTCTCGGCCTCTGAGCTTTGCTGCTGCCCTCTGCTTCCAGGTGGTCTGCGCCCGCTGGTGCGATGCAGACCAGTGACAGCATCTCACTTGGCGCGAGCTAAATTGTTCCCTGGAATATCGTCTGTTTACGCTAGAAAAGGATTTTCCTTTTCAGCCCAAAGTGACCAGGGGTCCCAAGAGTGACCTGAGAGTCACTTGGGAGCAGGACACGGTGCTAGTGCCAGCCCCGTCTGGATGGGTACAGTGGGCGTCCATGGGCAGGACTTGGCAGCTGTCTTTCGGAAGCTCCCGGGGGCAGTTTTCAGCATGCCAGCAGCATTAGATCACTCCCCAAGGGTCACAGCCGTGCGTGCGGGGCTCTGACTGGGAGCCTCCAGCCTGGCGGTCTCAGCCACCTCGTACACTTTAGCAGCAGAGTCGCAGATCACCCTGCTCATTGTGGGGGACGGGGGTGCCTGGCTCTCCCCTCAGATGGACCCACTCTGATGCACCTGTCTCCTTCCGTGTTGCAGGCAGTGTGCCCTGGCTGCCTTGAGAGATGTCAAAAGTTACCTGACGAAGGAGGGGGGCCAGATTGCAGTAAGTCTGGGGAATAAGTCTCATCTCCCCTCTGCCTCGGGATGGTGCCCTGGAGGGCGGAGCGTATGGACAGAGCCGTGGGGGTTGCTGCCGGTGGGGACAGGTGTCTGGCCTGAGCTGTGAGGGAAGCAGGGGGTGAAGGTAGCTCCAGGACCCAAGAGGAAGCTGGTGGGTGGGACAGACTGAGGGGCACGACCCGCCGGACCTGGGGGCCGCGGCCCCGGGAGCCAGTGTCCCTCCGTGGCCCTCCCCCCTGCGCATTGCTTTAAGGACTGTTCCCACCCTGCCCTCCCCTTTGGTCCTTGAGCACAGGAGGGAGGCTGTGGGGGGCCTGGGAGGATGCGGGGGGCCTGGGAGGATGCAGTTTCTCCTGGGGCCCCGGAAAGTGACAGACCCGACCTCTGCTGGTGCAGTAAACACTTGTCAGCGCCAACCGGGTTCTCTTCTCTGGCCAGGTTTTCGATGCCACCAATACTACTAGAGAGCGGAGACACATGATCCTCCATTTTGCCAAAGAAAATGATTTCAAGGTGAGCCTGATTTCTTGTCTTGGCCTGGTGCGCTCAGGAGCAAGGGGGTCCCACAGGGATTGACTGGTTCCTTGTCTGGAGCACCTCAGCTCCACACTTGGGCTTCCCCTGCCACTGCACGGGTGTTGTTGCCTACAGATTGGGCTTTCCTGGTGGGGCTCTCAGGGGTTCCTGAGACCGGGGAGGGGAGGGTCCTCTATGGTGGGAGGGCACAGACTGATGGCTGGTTCTATTTTGTGTGTCTGGGGGTTTATGTGTGGGGGCCTTCCTACTCCAGTGTGGCGGTGATGTCACAATGATCCCAAAGCTGGCCCTTTGTGTTACCACATTTGTTGTTTCCTAACGTTTCTGTCTCGTTTCCTTCCAGGTGTTTTTCATTGAGTCTGTGTGCGATGACCCTACAGTCGTTGCCTCCAACATCATGGTAAGACCCCCGAGGGTGGCAGTCTGAGAACAGGGCTGACCGGGTCAGCCAGGAGAAGCCATAGCACCTTGAGGATGAGCTGGCTCTGCCAGCTGGTGGTTTGCTTTTGTCTTGGGGGGGAATGGGAGGGTGGGTCAGCAGTGCAGAGCAGTAGTTAACTTAGAAACACATTCTGCGACCCGGACTGATCTTATCAAGGTCCCTTCAGGTGGTTGGCAGAAAGCTTTCTTTGTTGGACATAAGAGAGAAGTCACGGACCTCAGTTTTGGTGGGAAAACTGTTTTGGTGGCAGGAGCCTTGGCCGCTGGGGGGTGAGGGGGCTGCTTAGGGCGGAGGATGGAAATGGAGGCAGGAGGCTGGTCTCTTGCTGGTAAGTTTTCCCAGTAGGTAAGCATGGTCATGTGTTGACAGCAACCTATAGGACCCTGCAGACAGAGGGCAGAATTCCCAAATTTGGGAAATATGGGAGTGGTAAAACTGTCTTCCTGCTCCTCTTCCTGTGTCAAGGGGAGGGTTATCTGGGTAAATTGAGGGTACTTGGCAGCTTAATTTGATGCACTGAAATAAATTGTACTTGATAATAAACTGTAAGCAGGAAAGGTTATCGTGAAGACTTCACCGGAAGTCCCCTTCTCTTGTTGTAGGTCACTTTCCCTCCAGCTTAAATACATCCAAGTAAGATGTTAACTGTAACAAAAAGCTGGTCGGACCCTTCTACGGGGAATGCCAGACTTTGGCCATATAGTGTGTGTCGTTCAAAGGAATGCTGAGAGTTCGTTAGTTTTTGGTGGTGGGCCTTTGCTCCAAGGCAGTGGGAATATTTACATGCATTTCTCAGAAATGAGTTCATATTTCAGGAAGGGCTATTGAAATGGTAGAAAATCAGTCCAGATTGGTTTCAGTGGCCCCAAAGGAGGAGGCTCAAAGCATGAGGAAATACAAGTTGCCTTGGGCTAAACAAAGGCTTTTGCTGTATTTCTTTGGTTTGGTTCTACATTTCCACCGGGTAGGGAAGCAGAGTGCAGCTGCAGGATTGTCTGTTTCCCTGGTGAGCAGTTGACACTCACTTGGCCAGGAGCTCATGCACCATCTTGTCCTCTGTGAATCCTTGGATTCCTGTTCACCAGCCCTCCGTGTTCAGAAATCTCTTTTCTCTGATGAAGCCTCAGAGCTGCTTAGCAGTTTTTAGACTTTTCTCTTGTGCTTTTTATGCAAGAGGCTGTATTGGAGGAAGAGATCTGTGAACTGAGTTTTTTTTTTTTAACTTTGGTGGTGATGGTTTAGTCTCTTAAGTTGCCTGTCCAACTCTTGCGACCCCAGGGACTGTAGCCCACCAGTCTCCTCTGTTCATGGATACTGGAGTACAAGAATACTGGCAAGAATACTGGAGTACATTGCCATTTCCTTCTCCATACATAACTTTGGGTTAGCCAAAAAGGTTTTTCAGATTTTCCTGTGACATCGTATGGAAACACCCGAGTGAATTTTTTGGCCAACCTAATAAAAAAGGTTACCACTTTGACTGTTTTTAAGTGTTCAGTTCCAAGACACTTGGCACATTCACCCTGCTGGGAAACCATCCCCACTGTCCACTTCCAGAACTTTTTCCTCTTCCTGGACTAAAACCCTGCCCCCGTGAAACACGAACTCCCCACTGAAGTTGGATTTTTGCAGCGTGCTTGCCTCTCTTTCATGGCTGTGGTCATTGTTGAGGAAGAAAAGAGCACATGTGAACAGATTCTGAGTTTCCCCGAAATCTGCCAGCTTTCTCAGGCTTGTTCAGTTTTAGAGGATGGCAGGCCCGAGGGGCATTTCTCTTCTGTCTCTGTCCCATGAAAGCAAGCCTTGGTTGGGACCAGGTAGAGAAGCATCCACTGGGGACCAGTGATAACGGGGTACCACTCTGCCTGTGGTCAGTGCAGGAGGAACCCGATGATTCCACCGGGAAGGTACTCACAATGACGGGGCATTGCCAGCACCCCCTGGGGCACCTTTGCTGACAGGCAGCCTCCTCTGGGTAGGTGCTTATGAGGGACTCAGTGAGACTGAAGGCCAGGTTGTCTAGTGGTGACCTGGCTACTGGATTGATCCTGAATCGGGGCCCATTCAGAGGGATTTATTAGAATCCACCTGGGATAGGACTTCCCTGGTGGTCCAGTGGGTAAGACTTTGCCTTCTAGTGCAGGGAATGTGGGTTCATTTCCTGGTTGGGAACCTAAGATCCCACATGCCTCGTGGACAAAAAACCAAAACATAAAACAGAAGCAATGTGGTCACAAATTCAGTCAAGACTTTAAAAATGGTCTACCTTAAAAAAAAAAATCTTAACAAGAATCCTCTTGGGTTTCCTGTCCTTGCCTTACCGTGGGTGCCCTCCCTGTGACTCAGCGCTCAGCCATATCTCTTTTTTGTTTTTCCTCTTAGAACGCTGGGTCGGGTCATCATCATTCTGAGCCCATCCATGCCTTTCCCAGTTTGCAAGCCCCAAATCCTGCTCATTCTAAACAGAAAGCCCTCCAGCGTGATTCATCAGCTGCCTCTTTGTGGTGTTACAGGAAGTGAAAATCTCCAGCCCGGATTACAAAGATTGCAACTCCGCAGAAGCTATGGACGACTTCATGAAGAGAATTAACTGCTATGAGGCCAGTTACCAGCCCCTCGACCCTGATAAATGTGACAGGTAATTCCGAAGCAGTGGCTGTCTGAACCACCTGCTTCAGGGCTGTGACTGTTACTCCCGATGAATAATATTCCCATGAAACGTTTGCTCCTGGATACTTTTATAAACTCTCTTTTTAAATATCTCAAAAAACAAAAATCCTTGGTGATATATTCGGTGTAACTATGGTAGACACCGTGTGTGAGCGTGAGAGTGAGTATCTGGGCCCGTCTCTCTCTGTCCTCTGCTCTTGTCCCTTATTTTCCTTTCAGTTCTCTTGCTTTTCTCTCTCCTGTCCTCTGGGAGGCCCTCTAGCCCCACTCTGCTGTGGGAATTGCAGGCTCAGACCCCCGACTCTCAGAGCAGAAAGGTCTGTGCCCCCCTGGAGCTGACGCTGTGGTGCGGTGGAGGCCGAGTCTGCGTGGTGGGCTCCGGGCGCACCAGCCCTGTCTGACGGGCTGGCGCCCCCTGCAGGGACCTGTCGCTGATTAAGGTGATCGATGTGGGCCGGCGCTTCTTGGTGAACCGGGTGCAGGATCACATCCAGAGCCGCATCGTGTACTACCTGATGAACATCCACGTGCAGCCCCGCACCATCTACCTGTGCCGGCATGGCGAGAGCGAGCATAACCTGCAGGGCAAGATCGGGGGCGACTCGGGCTTGTCCAGCCGGGGCAGGAAGGTAGGGGGCGCCGGGGCAGGAAGGTAGGGGGCGCTGGGGCTGGGCGGGAAGCGGCCCCGTGCGTGTGTGTCCTTGTGTACGTATCTGTGCCGTGTGTGCGTGTGTGTGTTCCTCTGCGTGTGCCCTTGTGTGTGTATCTCTGTGTCCTTGTGTGTACAGGTGCATGTTCCTGTGTGTGTGTTCCTGTGTCTGTGTGTGTCCTCGTGTATGTATTGGTGCCCTTACGCGTGCGAGTCCCTGTGTGTGTGTGTGTTGTATGCCGATCAGACACTGACTCACACGTGTGCGCACGTGCGCGCCTCACAGGGGGGTGTGTGTGCAGGGCTGCTCCCAGGGCCCCCTTCCCGCAGCAGTGAGGACAGCCTCGCCCTCCCCGGGGGCTCGGTCCTGCACCGCCTCCTCTCCCAGGTGGGTGGAGCCTGTGACCCAGCGTGCGCCCCTCACCCCATGCCCGCAGTTCGCCAACGCCCTGAGCAAGTTCGTGGAGGAGCAGAACCTGAAGGACCTCAAGGTGTGGACCAGCCAGTTGAAGAGCACCATCCAGACGGCCGAGGCCCTGCAGCTGCCCTACGAGCAGTGGAAGGCCCTCAACGAGATCGACGCGGTGAGTGCCCGCCGGGACTTCTGCGCGAGGGGCTGCGGGGAACCCCCGAGCCTCCCTCGCTGGCCAGCCGGGGGGCTGCGGGCTGCGCCCTCGAGCGACCTCCGCCTGTGCCCGCAGGGCGTGTGTGAGGAGATGACGTACGAGGAGATCAAGGACACCTACCCCGAGGAGTACGCGCTGCGAGAGCAGGACAAGTACTACTACCGCTATCCCACCGGAGAGGTGCGTGCGCGCTGGGCCGCTGGCGGGCGGGCGGGCGGCGGGGCTGCGGTGAGGAGCTCGCGCTGGGCCTGCCGAGGCCGCGGCGTCCGGCGAGGCTAGGGACACAGGGGCCTGGCTGAGTGGCTCCGCAGAGGGAGGGCCAGTGCGTCCGCCCTGCTGCGCTGCCCCGTGCTCCTCCTCGCCCGCCTGTGAACAGAGTCCTCCCCACTCACACAGCTCCAAGGGAAGCACCGCTGCGTTTCCCAGCAGCTGGGACAGAGGTGTTTCTCCAGTGACGGAAATGACAGTTCAGGAAAGGGAAACAGCCCTGGCTGCTGATGTGCTGGATGCGGGACCCCGCTGACTGTAGGCCACATGGCAGGAGCGTCAGCAAGTCCCTTGTGCCGGCTCCACGGATGCTGGCGGAGGGACCCAGCCTGGACCCTGCAGGCCCTCGGGCTGAGCCAGCAGCTGCCTGGAGCTCTGCTCGGAGAGTCCCGTGCAGGCGGAGCTCTGGGGTCTGCGGAGGCCTTGACCTGGTGACACCCCGCAGGGGTCCTTCCTGTCTGTGGTCCCTCCACTCAGCGCTTGTTACACGTCTGTTCCTGGGAGCCCAAGGCACTGTCCCTGGTCTCATTCCCTGGGACCTCCTTAGTGAGAAAGGGACCAGGGGTCGTGGTCTTGAAAGTCACAGGTCCTCTCCTTCTTTTTCAGTTTTCTCCTACTGAGATAAAGTTCTTATCATATAAAAGTCACTGTTTTAGCCAAAGCACACGTCAGTGGTTTTTTTTTATACATTCACAATATTGTGCAGCCATCATCACTAATTCTAGAACATTTCCCCATTGCCCCAAAAGAGACCTCCCAGCCTGTTAGCAGTCAGTCTCAGTTCCCCGTCCCCCGGCCTGTGGCTTCTTTGAGTCTGTGTTCTGTCTCTGGAGTTGTCTATTCTGGACGTTTCCTGTCAGTGGAACCTCACGCTCAGACCGTCACTCTGTGTAGCATGTTCAGGCTTCTTCGTGCTGTGCTGTGTCGGGGCTCCGTTTCCTGGGTGCAGGGTGGGGGTCAGGATGGAGCAGGGAGAGGCAGTGACGTGGGTCCCCCGGGGTCGGGATGGATGCAGGACCAGCACGCGGGTGGTGGGCTGATGCAGGGCGGACGGCGTGGTCCCTGGCTTATAACAGCGTGAGGGCGTGGCCCGGGGTGCCCGGAGTGATCTCGGTTTATAAGGACGGGAGGGCGTGGCCGGGGGTGCCTGGCGTGGTCCCTGGTTTGTAACAGCGGGAGGGCGTGGCCGGGGGTGCCCGGCTTCTGCTCCAGCTCAGCGCCCCCTTCTCCCTCCACCCTGCAGTCCTACCAGGACCTGGTGCAGCGCTTGGAGCCGGTCATCATGGAACTGGAGCGGCAGGAGAACGTGCTGGTTATCTGCCACCAGGCCGTCCTGCGCTGCCTCCTGGCCTACTTCCTGGACAAGAGCGCAGGTGCCTGGTCCTCAGCGCGCCCTCTCCTGGGGGAGGGCGGGGTTGGGAGCTGGTCCCCCCCCCCTCCACGAGGAGGCAGGGCCCCTGGGGTAGCCCCCTCCGGGTGCTTTCTTGCAGCCCCCAGGGGATATCAGAGCAGTTTTAAGCTGGGTGGGCTTAACAGCCTCAAGAAGCCCAGCCTCCCTGTCTCCCCACATCTCAGGGGCTGTGGGTCTTTGGGGAGGGGGCAACCTACCTCTAAGAACTCCCAGCGCAGCTAAACACTAATGTGTCTGCCTGTGGGCCAGTAGGATCCCGACTCCTAAGGTGTTTGGGAAATGATGCTCTTATTCCAGCTCATTGCGTGAAGTTTGGGGTTCTCTTTGATCGTGTTCTTTCGGGTGTCTTAGCAGGGCCGCCTGCCGCCCGCAGCAGGGCCTGTGCTGGGTTGGTGGTGTGCTCCACCCTGCCCAGCCAGGCGTCTGCGGTCCCCAGGCAGCACAGGCTCTCGTGAGGGCATGGCCACCCTCCAGTCTCCCGTCTCACCATGGGCCCTTCTGTCATTTCCAGAGGAGATGCCCTACCTGAAGTGCCCGCTTCACGCTGTCTTGAAGCTGACACCTATCGCTTATGGTGAGCGTGAGGACCCAGCCACCAAGTCTGATCCCCCAGGTGGGCCGGGCGGGTCTGTGAGCTCGGTCCCGCTTTAACCGAAGCTGACCTGTCCCCGCCCGCACCCAGGTTGCCGAGTAGAATCCATCTACCTGAACGTGGAGTCTGTGAGCACACACCGGGAGAGGTCAGAGGTGAGTGAGAGCTGGTGGCCCCCTCCTCACCCCTGCTGTGCCGTCTGTCTGGGAGGGACCCGGCGGCGGGGCTGGCAAAGGCTGTGTTGGTCGGTGGCGTCTGCCTGCCTCCGTTTGGATCTGTGGTCCTCGGGACTGCCTCCTCTGTTCTCTCAGCCTCCGTGTGCTCCTGCCTGCCTGTCTGGTGGCTTCTTGGCATCATCCTCCGTTTTGTTTCTTTCTGTGCTTCTTCCCCCATTTCCTTTTGACCCAAGAAGTGAATGTGGAGGAGGAAGCTTCTTTTAAACGTAACCACGGTCTGGTTACCGTCACTTTTTCCTCTGGGGAAGCCAAATGATCGCAGGTTCCAGAGTCCCGGGTGGCAGTGGGACCCACAAATTTTGGTGTCATCTACATGCACTTACATCTCTAATTCTCACAAAAATGATAAAGAATGAAGAAGAGGGTGGGACTAGGGAAGCACAGCTGTAACTGGGAGTTAGCGATGTGGCGGATGGAATGAATGATTCTCTGGACAATCCCAGTGCCTGACCGCACGGACACCACCTGGAGGCGGTCTGGAATTTGGTGGTCAGCCTGGCTGGGATCCCCCAGGAACAGCCCAGAGTTCTGCCCAGGCATAGGAACCTTGTGAAAGAAAGTTCGAATTTACTTTATCCCAACGGTCAGACTCCAGTGCTCTGCCAACATCCACCCAACCCTTCCTTTGACACCGAGCATGACATTCCCATGTTCCCATCCCTGCTCTCATGGAGCGTGGCCAGAAGATCTTGGCATTCGAATCCCAGCCTCCAGTTGCCCTGGTGGTTGACCGAGATGAAGGTGAACCTCATGCCTTGGCTCTGACGGCGTCTCCCGAGTGGGGGTGGCAGGATAGACGTTGGCTTTCCCTCCAGGGGCAGCAGCCTCCCCACTGGACCCTCCTGTAGCGGGATGATGGGGATGGGCTGGAACTGTGCTCCGATAGCCCCTGAGAGCTTTGCCGGGCAGAACAGGGCAGGGGCTTGATGGGGACCTTGGAGGTCCCCACTCCAATCGAATTGTCCCGTGGTCGGAAGAAGGCTAGGGTTTCCTGTGTCTGTGGTCCCCTGGCTGCGGTGGAGGCTGCGTTTCCTGTCCGAGTCTGGGTGTGCTCCCCGGGAGCAGGAACTGGGAAGATGCCGGCTTGAGGTCAGCAGGAGGGGGGACGGGCACCGACACTTCCCGCCACCCACGCCTCGAGCCCAGGACCCTGTCCCCTGTGTCCCTGGAGGCTGGCAGCCAGGTCTCCCCCTCCCCCCGCCCCAACCACCGCCTCTCACGTGCTATCACTGCATCACTGTCCCGCTCTCTCTTCCTCCCTCGCCTGCTTTGCAAACGTGGTGTCTGTTGAGCGGTTGTCTGGAAGTGACTGGGGTGGGGGCTCGGGATGAGAGGTCATCCCTTGCTCTTGCTGAGTGGGAGACGCGGGACGAGCCGGCGGCCCCTGCAGTCCAGGGCTGTTCTCCCTGGTCAGTCTCATGGTCTCAGTGAAATTCAGAAGCAGAGAAACGTGTCTGGTTTGGTTTCGGATTTTTGGGGTGTTTTTTTTTTTGGCTTATTTGCCTCCCCCTCCTCGTAACTGTCGCCTTCTCTCTTTTGTCTTTGTCTCGCTTAGGATGCAAAGAAGGGACCTAACCCGCTCATGAGACGCAATAGTGTCACCCCACTAGCCAGCCCCGAGCCCACCAAAAAGCCTCGCATCAACAGCTTTGAGGAGCATGTGGCCTCTACCTCCGCTGCCCTGCCCACCTGCCTGCCCCCGGAGGTACCCACGCAGCTGCCCGGACAAGTGCGTTGACCCCCTTCTCCTTCCTGAGTCGAGTCGCGTGCAGGGTGGGGAGAGCATGCCCGGTAGGGTGGCAGGGGCCACAGACTCAGGCCTGCGTTGGGGGGGGTGGGGACTCGGAGGAGAGGACCTGGGCCGTCCCTTTGAGTGTGGGACCCCCGGATCCATTCCCGAGACCTTGGCTTTGCACGGACACACCCTTTCCGGGGAGGTGGCCTTCCCTGGGCAGACCCAGGCCAAGCAAAGAGATGGCCGAGTGTCTGTGACCCATTCACATATATGGATAGTTTCTTCTAAAAGTTGAAGGCAACCCCCCAGTTCAGGACCAGCTCAGCCCCCATCCGGCTGAGGGCTGTTGGCTTCCGTGTGGCTTGGGGACATCTCTTCTGTCCCCACTGCTTCCTCTTAGAGAAAAGCTTTGTCAGATGGGGCCCTGGGAATGTGTCTGGAGCCGGCGTGGATAGACTGGGACCCGGGCCAGAGGACCTGGAATAGATGCTTTCTCCTAAAGCATAGTAAATAAAAAAAACCCCAAAGCAGAAAACCAACTGGATTAATTCTTAGATCATTTCATCCGTTGTGATACTAGGCTGAAAGACGCTGGCTATTGGGCCGTAAAATTTGTTTCCCGCACACCACTATCTTCCTCAACAATACTCGGGAATCCTGGCCGGGGCGTGAGATGTAGAAATCCCCAGGCACAGATTTGGGTCCCACCTAGGGGTCTCCCCTAACCGCCACCCACCACGCATGGCCTCTGACATAGAAGTCACGGGTTCAGGTTCAAGTTGAACTTGAAGGTCCACAGGCTTTTCCTGAGTTTGCTCGAAACTCCTTTAAACGTTGTGCTGTCTGGAAACTTGCTGTGTGTGTGCCCGGGGTGGGGGGCAGGGGTGACGGTGCGGTGCTGCCCCGGGCAGGCCATCGGCCTGCTTCAGGCCTCAGTCTTCTCATCTGTGGGATGGGGGAGCAGCAGCTTCTGCCACAGGCTGAACATGGGGAGACTCGTGCTGAGTGTGTCTGTGGTCGTGTCCCGCCCTGGTGCCAGCTCTGGGGTTTTATGTCACGTTCTGTCACCTCCCTGGCCTTCAGTCTCCCTGTTTTTTTTTTTAATGAGGGAGACAGACTGGCCGGAAGACATCTAATTAGTGGTCCTTTCGGGCTCAACATCAGCGGTGATTTTGTGAAAACTTAAAGCTAAAGTGGCATGTCAGTGACATAGTGTGTTGGTGTAAATGGTGGGGTCACAGATGGAAGATGAGAGGCCACAGTCACAGACATAGGGACCTGTTGGGCGGGGTTTGGTGACGGTCAAGGCCGTGCTGCCCCGGGTGATGGTGGGCAGGGCGCGTCCTGCAGGGTTGCCGACCTGGAAGCCACTGGCCAGGCTGGGGGTGCCCAGGGCTCCGTCCCACAGAGAATGCCTGGTCCCCAGTGACCCAGGCCCTCTCCCTTCCCCCCACTGACTCTCTCCCACCTTTTCTCTCTGCAGCCTTTGCTAGGGAAAGCCTGTTTGTAAGTATTTTTCTCTGAATTCTTTTGCTCTTTGCATCTCTTTCTCCTTGCTTGCCAGCTTGGCCCTCCTGCCTGTTGTGGTGAGGCTAACGGCAGTTTATGTAAAATCTGAAGGAGGAAGGAGAACGGGTCCGTGAATTTTCAGGACAGGACGCAGGGCGTGGGTGTTCCGTGCGTCCTCCTGCCGTCCTGGCCGCCGCCGCCTTCTCCTCGCTCCCTCTCGGGGCGGGGGTGACTGTCAGTGTTTGCGGTTCTCCGTGGCTAGACATCGGTCTGCTTTTTCCCTCTTAGCGTCAGACGTTGGTGGGAAGCTGGGTCTTTGCCTTTTGATGTTGTCTTTTATGTTCTGGGCCTCCCCCAAGAGCCCTACCATTTTGAGAGGGAAGTTTGCGCAGAGCAAAGTTTATGCAGAGCCTAACCTGCACAGTGAACTGTGGAGGAACCGAGTGCCCCCTCCTGTCCTGCAGGGATCCCTCACCTTCAAGGGCTCCGGGACCCCGGCTCCGGGACCCCCGCTCCGGAGTGGTCTGCTTGGACACGACTGGTCCGCATCGTATTGTCCTGGATCAGAACACTCCTGGCCTTTACGGTCATGTCCAGGATGGGGTGCGGCTGTCTCTCTGCAGTTTCTGGTTAATTCAGCGCTGGTTAATTCCACTGGATAAACTCAGTGCTTCCTCTGCTCTGGTGGCCCCCAGCCACAGGAATGAACTGAGGCCGTTATATCACAAATTTTAACAAGAGACACCCTGAAATATCACCCTAACTCCTTGAGTCACACCTGCCCTGCCTTCCCCTTCGCTGGCTAGGCTCATCCACACAGAAACATGGCTTATTCTTGGAAAATAGGAGCTGCTGGGCATTGTGTTTGGACTGAGTGATACCTGCCCAGAAATACACATTGTCACTTTTCAGCTTGTACACGTCCCGAGTCTTTAGTCCTTAAAATAAACCCAGGAGGTCGCAGGGCAGTTCTTGGCCCCACTTCCCAGATGAGGGTGAGGCCTCGCCCACAATCACCCTACCAGCCCTCAGCAGAATCAGTGGTTGAATGGCTGTCCAGTCCCAAAGGCTGGCTGCTTTCTCTCTGCTGGCTTCCAGAGCTGCCCGGGTCCCGTTCGCCTGCCCATCCCAGGCACCCGGCATTTGCAGCCTGTGGGGTGAGGCCCAGAGTAGTTTGGGTTCCTTTCTGGCTCTCGCAGCCTCTGCTTTGCAGCCGCTTCGTGCGGCTGCGACGTGTGTATTTAACGGTGGGCTTGCCCATCAGAGTCAGTCTGTAAGGGTAACAGTCCTGTGTCGGTGACCCCTTTGACACATAGAATGCCCCAAGGGTGAATGTTCTTGTGTGAAAAGCAGCCTTCGGGGTTTGCAACCTTACAGTTTTGCATCTGTGCATGTCCTCTTCCTTTTGATCCACAGCCTGGTGTTGCCAGGAAGGACATCTTCCTGCTTAGAGAGGGCCATTCAGCCACCCTTTGAGGTTGAAGTTGTCTCTTTCTAAGGCTGGTACTGCCTCTGGTCAGAACACCTCCAGTTCAGTGAAAATGTATTCTCTGCGTCCATGCAGATGTGCCAGTGTTCAGGTGTCGTGATGATGAGAATATGGAT